GATGCTTTTGACTTCACGTTGTTGATGAGACTAAACAGAGATAAGTTTAAAAAGATGTTTGTCTTTTTTGACGTTTACTTGTTGATGATGATCGAAATACAATACTTTAAGGGGATTTCGAGTATTTTGACAGATCCACTCTCACTTATACTAATTAGTCATATTTAATAAAGATTGTGATGAGAACTTTTGTTTGATTTATTTATGCTGAGATTACCAACAACTTCTTCTTTGTTCACTGAGTGTGTCATATCCAACACTTTAGTTCATTTTCCTGTTCGTTTACTGATTGAGTACTAAATACTAGAGCATAATTGTTATTCAAATTCATTCATTTTTTTTAGGTTTCGATCCTTGATTCAATGATAACTAGTCAATAGATATACTTCTTTGTGACCATCTACTCATAACTGCGTGGTTATATAAGTTGCCAACACAATAAAATATATTTTATTGACCTAACAGGAAGTATTATTTAGTTAATAAACTAGTTCTATTACATCAAAAAATATTTTAATTGTCGAAAGATTCCAATCATATTAAAAGCATAGATCTGTGAATGAAGAATATTCATTTCAATAAGTTCTCATCAGTCACCATAGTTATTAATCTAAATTAATACTCCAAAGGAGATGGCCAAGTTTAAAATTCATAGGATTTAGGATTGTTGGCCGAATAACGTTAAAATCGTTAGCATTGGGAATGGTAGTGTGTAATGTTTACATGAATCACCTAGTTGATAGATAATAATCCTGTTACTTGTCTTGTATTCATAGTATCAAAGAATTTGCGAGCAGGTGATACATTCTGCATAAGTAATGAAACATCTACCGTCCCACTCGTTTTTATGAAAAATGGTTTGATCACTATGAAAATAGTTTAGTCTCTGATTTGACCACAATCGAATTCATGAAAAAAAGTACCGACGATATAGTTCAAGACAGGACTGAACACTTATTCACAGATTGTTTGATTCCAACCAATGTTCATCAAGTGCCAACTTCTAATAAGAACTGTTTCTAAATATTTGATTTAGGATTCCTTAATTTGTTTATTTAGGAATAAATTATCCTAGAGTGTCACATAAAATGTTTACAAACTTGAAAGATATATAAGGTGTTTTTAAATTCCTTATGTGTAAGACTTTAAGTAATGTCGATAGTTTGGTTAAATGAATGAAACAACAATCTAACACAAAATACAATGAATAGGAATGATGAATATAAAAGCAACTATATCATGTAGTGTTCAAGATCTTGACAAAATCGAAGTTAATATTCATTATACATTAAGATGGAGTAAACATTATTTAAAACCAGAGTGGACTATGATATGGATATTTCTCACTTATAGAATTACTTAGCAAAATGCATATATGGTCTCACTTATGCTAGAATTCTGGATGTCCAGACTTCAAAAGGAGCAAGATATTCCTAAACAAATTACTTGTAAATATGAAGTTATTATTTATTTGGGTGAGGAATGAAAGTTGGTTGAGATTGTAAATTGAACAAAAAAATCTGAATAATTTAATACTGATTCAGTGGTTGAATGATATCACATTCACTATTAGAATCTTATGAGCCTAATTTCCATCCCTTATGAATTCACATGTGTTCAAGGGTGATGAGTTATATACTTGGACTAAACCAACTAGTTATTTTCTGATTTTCAGCAGTTCTCCAGCTGACTTAAATCTGAGGTTTAGAAATAAATTATCCTCAAATTATACAAAATCATATGAAACAGCCAAGCTTACTGAATTATTTGACTCCTTTTTCTTTATTTCAAATAAATACTGACAAATGTTGTTGCAAGAAACCTTGTTGTTGTGATGAATTGAATCATCAAGAGACCCATGCTTCAATCGAAATTGGAGCCCAATGCGTTCAAGAATACAGTGGGTTGTTGAAGCTATTTCCGAACTCATCCGAGACTGGAGTTAATATACCAATTAATAATTACAGTGTAACCGTCACCATGACCTAAGTTCTTCGTATTGATTCAGTTTTATAAATCAAGGTGTATGTGTTTACCACAGTTAGTACATTTAACTTTTAAATCACTATTAAAAACTTTGTTGTACACGTTGCTTGACTCTTTAGGTTTCACAACACAATTCTTCACATAAGCCTTTTAAATGTTTAACCTAAGAAATCTGTATTAAATATCCCTCAATCAATAAACAGAACTACTTTATAGATATTTATCTAACGAAAAGTGAAGACAAATTAAAATGTATTCTTGAGTTTTATGATCAACCACATTTTTGATGTGTATGATAAGTGGTAGGTTCAAATTTATTTAAATCACAGGAGAAACAGATTGTTATAGTTAATCTTTTTTGCATATTTATGAGATTGACACGTTTGATGTAAACGAAATATTACGAAATCAATGTGTTTTATAAATAATGAGTACATTAAAGTGGCAAATGTCAAGTTATAATATACAATTACATACAAATAGGTAAATGTTATCTTTAACATTCAATATTTTCTTTCTTCAGTACATGTTAGATAGATTCTAAACTGATATTATGTCAGGAGTCTGATAAATGTCAAATGGTTTGTTTATCTTTAAGATGATGTGTGTCAATGAATGTTTAATTTGGTTTAATTTAATAATAATAATAATAATAATTTATACACATGCGTATAAGTAACATTTTTTTATTTCAAATATTTGCGTTTTTAAGGTTATTTACTTGTTTTCACTGAAACACTAAACATCTCTGTTATTTCGCTTAAATTTGATTTTTATTGAGATTTTAATTTGAGTTTCTCTACTATAAGTTCCGTTTAATTGGAATATGTCTTTTTAAACTACTGGTTTTGGAAACACAAACTAAATAAACTGTCATCCGGAGATATGTTTGTCAATTATATATAATTACGTGGTCAAAATTTCTCTGAATAAAACTGTAGAGGATTTACCATACCAAGGATTTTGTTTTTTTAGCTACATGATAGTGGTTAGTTACCAAACATGAAGAAAACCCTATTAAAGAATGCAAATACTATTCACTTTATGAGCTTTAGTTTTTTAATGCATTACATTGAGCTTAGTAAGATCTTCCAATAGTTTGTCACTAGTACACGACAATCTTTGACAACATCTTCATCTATTAGTTAGTTGGCTTTTAATCTGGTGAAAAATAATGCACCACCGAGTTATTTATCATGATACTAGGTGGTTAGAAGCAATCGATCACTGTAGCGAGATCAGGACTAAGAACCAGACAATATGATTTTGATGACTTCAGTGATTGCATTGATATTTTCTGTGATCGGTATTACATGAGAATAAACACTCCACTTAATGTTGAGTGTTTCAAATATTCTAGTGACTAAATAAAATGATATCTTGTATTGCCCTTTACAAACATAACCATTCATAACCATTAAATTCTGGTCATAAATAACAAGTTGCACCATCAACGATAGCCTTTGATATTCATTCCTGAGTATAGCTTGTACTATTTTAGTTATTTAGGTTACTGTTAGTGGTAAAGATGTCACAGATGTTCAGAGTTCTACAACGCTTTTGTCTGTAACACCTGTAATCAACGGATACAAATCCAATTAAATCAGAAGTCAGGAATGAATGAGTTTGAAGATAGATTTAGAAGATTGTTGGTGTGTTGAGAAGCTTTTGATTCAAGCTGGCTAGTAGTTATAACGGTTGTTTAGCAGGACATACCCACTCGTGATCTGGAGCGGACGAGTGATAGAACACCTTCAGCTAGGGTGATTTTAGTTAAACCAGTGGGGTTAGCATTGATGCCGAAGACTTACAGAACTATTTATTTTTAAGATTTATTTACGACTACATTAGTTGTCTCGTTGTACAAACAGAATTATCGAAAATAATGAATATATGAAATGAAAATAGTTTGAAATTTCATATAACCAATGTCCTATTCATCATCTGAATACTTTGTTACTGAATAGCTGTACTATCCGTCTCTTGTTTTGCAACTAAGCCAGTAACTTGCTCCCTGAAAAAATGAATCATTTTATACGATTCTTCCCAATTTACAGTTTCTTTTTTTCAATAGAGTAGCCTATGGACTATCCTCACTTGTAAACTGAATAAATATTGTTATGGTGACTGTGTTGTTTCTTAAATCTGAAATTGATCATATGTGAGCGTAACATTGAAAAGAGAAAACATGTCTATAATCTTGCCCATGAAAATACAAAAAACAAGCCTATTCTTATGTTACTCGGTCAAATGAAGTTGTCATCTCAATCACAGGATGGGATGTATTTATATATCATGTTCTTTGAATAAAACTTTTGTAACTGAGTTCTGTGTGAATGAGATGAGAAAAGAAAAGAAATTTATACATTGATTTTTTTAACTGTCTAAAAATGTCTGGACTCAAAATTGACAAGATAACAAGGAATAACAGTAAATGGTTTTATGATTTAAAATAAATTGCTTTGACAATTAATTTTAGTCGTTACTTACCTCCAAAACACATTTATGCACATTCCGAAGAATTTCCTCTACCTCCCGAATAATCCGTCATTTTCCATTTTATCCATTCATCTATCCCATTCACTTCCTCCACCCCCCTCACATCAAACATCAAAACACGCACATAAAGGGACATAATGGATCTGTAAAAAATTACTCACCTAATACTAATGGCTTCATATACTTTAAATATCTGAGGCTTGGTTAGTCATGAATTTAGAAAATGTTGTCTTTAAAATCTATGGTGGTTTTATTTTGAGCAAGTAAATATGAGATAAGTTCAATACGTTATTTTGTTTTCTACTTTAACCTAAATAGTATATTTACCTCACCCTATCACTATATCCAGTGACACTGACAGTAACTAGGATGACATTGTGAATATGTTCGTTATAGGTCAGACATGTAAGTATATTTATCTCTAGAAATTGATTAATTTTACAGAGCATAATTTCTTCTCTCTCATTCCTACGTATTCGCTTATTAATTCACATATTATCGCTTTATCTCTTCAGCATATTTCACAATAGCAAAAACATGATAATACCATTTTTCTATTGAGTGGAGAAATAAATAGAAAAAACAGATTTCGATTTTATTTATTGGATGGAAAAAAACTAAGTGTACGTACATAAATATAAACAAATATATTGAGGAGATATTTGTCACAGAAAGAGCTGGTGGAAATATTTGTATATATATGCACAAATACTTGTAAACATTTATCACATACACATATAAATATTATTTGGAGTATGGAAATTTGTAAAGGTAAACCAGGTTTTTTAATCCCGAATCTCACATCTGCAACTGCGATGGCTGCAGCCTCTGGGGATGGGAACGGTTCTAGTAGTGATGGTGATTCAGTTCAAATGACAATTTCTAATAACAATCATCATCATAACAATAACAACAACAATGGGAATCATTCAAGCGGTGGAAATTCTTTAATTAGTTTAAGTAAAACTATATCTAAACATAATATGGATTCAGATTTAAGATCTGTTAAAATCTATATGAACAAATCATTATCTGATAATGCTTCTGCTAAATCACCACTTTCATTACATTTGGAGAATTCTGGGATAACACATGAACATTTGATAGCTGAATCAAATCATGCGCTACAACATCATTCTCATCATCATCTTAATACACAATTACAAAGGAGCCCACCACCGCTTAATCCTGTCCTTACTCTTCCCTCTGTTACAAATACCATTTCAAATGGATCATTCTACTGTAATTCGATAAATACCAATTCTAATCATCAAATAAGATCAGGTAAACGTCCAGCACCTACAACACCGAAGCGATTATCAACAAATTCTGCAGATTTTCATTTTGACGATGACTGTGTCAGTAATTCCGGTTCTGATATGGATGCTCACGAGAATTCGAGTTCCACAGATGTTGAAGGTGTTTGGTCAATGGATATAGAACAATGTTTTCAGGAAGCTTTAGCAATATATCCACCATGTGGACGTAGGAAAATTATACTATCGGAAGAGGGAAAAATGTATGGTAAGTTACTGTATTTATTTTCTAAAACTTGCAGACTATGTAGTTTAATTTGATGTTTCAGTACCAAGGATTTCCATTATTATTTTGAAATGCTTCAAAAGATATCTTCATGTTAATCTGAAATCAATACCAGGAGGGAATGATTTAGAATTTTTGTATTTGTCATTTCACTATTCCATGAGTTCCCTTATAATAAAAGGGTTTATCATGATTCAGGATTACGTGGGGGAACATGTGGCATTTGTAGAACAAGTTGTTCATCAAAGACTTCCATTCCAGACAAATTCATTTTCAAAGCTGTACAATCGCATATAAATACTTTTTGCACAACGATAGTTAGTTTGGTGATAATAATTTACCAAACATAGTAATAGCCAAGAGAATAAATAAGCAAAATCACACCAACGGTGTTATTCCTATTAAGAAACTGAAGATGTAATTGTTAAGAGCTTGAATATTTATCGACAATCTCACAGAAGTTGGATGAAAATTTATAATTGTTAGAGTAGATTTGGTAATTCGATAAGATAGAATTTCGAAACTGAAATGATATGTTATCAATAAGGACATAAAAAATAGAAAGAAGTCAATTAGGGATAAAAGATCTATACAATAACAGGAAGAGGTAGAATGATAGTTAGACGCTAAGAACATGGTGCGAGAACAAATCGAATAAGTTTATTTTGTATGGATAATTGTAGCTTCTTTAAATATATAATGAAAGATTTGATTATACCAAGGGGATGGCAACTGACCATCATAAGTAGGTGTTCGTTTACCTTGCAGATAAATTTAAACGACGATTAATTTTTTGATAGGATGACCCTTGCTTACTAGGTGGTTTGTATTGGGCTTCCATCGCTAATCCTTTCCAGTCATTCAGCATAATGTTTATAAGCCCTTTTGTATGAAATGCGCACCGAACTACCTGTATACTTAGCTACATAGAAACTGGTTGATTGGTAAACGTATGTAAAAGTGGTTATAAGCGAGAACTTATGCTTAAGGTTATTAGTGAATATAGAAAGACTGGAGAATACTATCGTTAGAGTTGATTCCAAGTAATTTATTTTGAGAGAGATGGAAATCCTGTTCTTCAAAATATCTGCAACTTTATCACCTTTAGATTCAATGCTCATATGAAACTTTCTCTTTGGTACTGATATTAAAGATTCGAGCTCTATATTTTTGTCAACAAATCTAACTGTATCACTTACCTTCGATCGATATTTTTGTTGTAATATTTAATTCTCTATCTATGACAATGATGCTGCAAATTCTTATTTGTGTTGTGTGAGAAATAATTAATTTCATTTTCCTACAAATAGTACCCAATTGAAGGGACGTAAATTTTATTGTGTGTGGTAGCTATCAAAGACATCTAGATAACAGGTTAAAAATATAAATCGCCATGTAATCTGTATGTATTGATGACTTCTCATCACCCTATTATAATCCATATATGAAAATTTAACTTCGATGTAAGTGTAACTATAAAAATAATAAGTGTCAATTATTTGTTTCCTAGTGGAGAACTTTTTGATTATCGTCTGTCGACTTCTCAGATGATTTATTTAATTTCAGTAGGAAGATCCAATGTATCAAAAAATAAGAGAATCAAACAAAGAATATCAATTGAATTTAATGACCGCATATAAGTTAATATAAAGTTTTTAGAGTGACTGATTTGAATAGTGGTTTGGAACATTATGAAGTAATATACGAAGCTTTCATTTGCATTATATCTTAGTCAGGTATTGTGTGAAAATTTAATAATTAAATAAAATTATTTTGTTTTAATTACTTCAAAACTTTACTTTTTTATTCTTTACCAAAATGACACGTAATAGAGTTAGACAATCAATATAGATTCACAGTTCATTTATCTGATTTTACAACACAAATGACAATTATTTAATTTTATATGGTAATCTATGTCACTCATCTAAAGTACGAAGTCTATTCATGTAATCAACGGATAAATCTTACTAAATTCAAATAGTATTTCACTTTTACTGAAGTTTATATTGCATCAACTTTCTCAAACTCCATATTTTCAATATACATATATTTTAACGATTTAAAAAGAAAAATTTCAGTACGAAAGGATTGTTTTCACACAGTCCTTTATAGTAAGCTAAAACTAATTCGGCAGTTTAATGTATTTCTACTTATATCTACCCTTTATCTGTCTTATTAGGTAAGTGATGAAATTTATCTAATAAAAGGTGTTGTCACATAATTTTGTTTGTTCTATTTCTAAATTAACCTGTACAAAAATGATCAAAAAATGGGTGTACCTTAAACTGAATATAATTAATTATTTCAATATGTTTTAAACTAATCCATTAAATAGGTACTTGTGATTTTGTATTTCTATACTAAATATAAAATGTGGATGGCTCATTTATTTAGTCAATAAATGTTTGAAGTGTTTGCAAATGAAGGTACATTTATAGGATACATTGAAATACTTTAAGAATAAATTAGGTTTTATTTTCTAGTAGAACTTATTAACTTGGAATAGAGTGGTTCATAGTTTTTTTACACGATATCATAAGTATTTAACCAGTTGTTTAAAAATTATCCATACTGCTTTCAAGTTAAATAGCTAATGGCGTAAAACTGTTAAGGGATCATTTGATTTGTTGTTAATAATAATAGATCGTCATTCAGTTTATGCTTAACCAACATCTTTGTTGTAACTATCATCTATAAAATGTAGTCCAAGTTTTATCGTTCTCATAAATAAAACAATTTGATATTTCTGAGTAATGTTCTTTTTAATGTGTCTTTAATCGGAGTTAGTTGACATGAGAACACTTCAAATATATTTCCTAAATGTTAAAAGTAAAGCAAATCGAACTTAATAACTGGAGGTTTGTAAACTGATATCATATAAAGTAGCTTCAATTGACTCACGCTTTCAACAATGATAAATACTAAATCTCCACAAAACCCCTTCTATATAAAGTAATTAACAATTTTTATATCGGGTAATATAAAATGATAATTAGAACTATAAAACCACTGATAAATGATCCTAGAGTAACATACACTTGAATGATCATTTTGTCAATAATTAAAAATACACTTTGTCAGACGGGTACATGGTCAAAAAGTTTATGTCACATCAGCCTCGGGAGAATGATTAATAATATTCCTTGTGTACCATTCAGGACATTTATAATAAATTTTCCGACATTCTCAAGAATCAATCCTAACTACTTTAATACAGGGGGAGTGTTTAGAAAAATAATTCTAACTTATTCAGCTAAAGCGTAACTGTTTACGCACAGAATATATAAATCAAAAATTATTAACTACACAAATAATAACGAATGAAAGGATTATTCAATACTTGGTTTCAGTTATATCAACAATTTATAGTTAGATTATAGCAAACAAAGATTATTCACTGGTTGCATTTCTCTTCTTGATTCACACTATCTGTTGTTTTTATTCAAAATGTATAGTGTGATTAGAAGTGAACTGGAGCTTATTCCATTTTATTGTTTAAATAAATTTTCACTTTAGGCAAACGGCTGATAATGATTAAATGAAACTAAATATACAATGAATAATAACTAAATTCTGAAAATTTGAAGAGATTTTGATGAATAGACCGTAGTTATTGAAATACCATATATTAGTTTACATTACAAGTGTCGTAGTTCATCGTTTTACAAGTTAAGAGTGTATCTGTCTGCTTTGTTGAATATTACAAAATCAGAAAATAAAACACAATATTGTTGAAAGCTTTAAAAAAAATTAGTTGTTTGTTGAAGCGAAACATCTAACTTTTTGCCCAAATGTACTCGTTTGCAATTTCTTTTATACCTGAGGACGAAAATCTCTGAAGGTGTACGAAATCATTCTCGTAAAAATTTACTATCCAAAGAAACAAAGCAGAATATAAAAAAGTAGTTGAATTTAAGCAAAAATGACTAAAATAATTTCCTACGAAAATCGCATTTCTTAACCAACCGATACTAGCTGGAAAGCAATTGAAGGTTATGGCTCGTTTGATGGGCGCTTCACTCCATTTTGAGACCATTCGGTTGCTGATGATAGAGATCTAAACGGAATAGAATATATGGCCTCAGTTTTTGGAGTGAGCACAAACCTATTAGACAATTCATTAGGAAATCAGTGGTCCATATTTTCAGTTTCCATCGGTTCGTAATATAGTACAAACATCACCCAATGCTGTCAGTGGTAACTGTTATGTTAACACGTAGCTGAAAACCACTGAACACTAGCATCGGAAATACCAGTTAGATGTTATCTACTAATATGTTTAGGGTTTATATTATTATTAGCAGTAGTTGTAGTGTATTATTATTATGTGGGTAGCCTGTGGAATTATTCACTTTAACTTGAAAACACATTTCACGAAGAGCTAAAGTCTATCGTGTAAGCGAATCCTCTTCACCTAGTTGAGACATAAGTTTATGTTTCTCATTAATCTTGTGGTATTGAGTTTGTCAAACAATCATATGTATGCTTATTTCAGCCGAATTATTTTTAATTTGCGGTCAACGTAATGTTTGTTACCTTTGAGGTATACTCTGTGAAGTTTGTACTTTCGAATTTGTTAATGCTAAGTCCATAACTAAATCCATTTCGTTCTTGTTAAAATATACAGTCGTGTATTTTTTCAATGTGACAGGACGAAATGAATTAATTGCTAGATATATATATCAACACACTGGAAAGATTCGAAGCAGAAAACAAGTTTCAAGTCACATTCAAGTATTGGCTCGTCGAAAATCTAAAGAACTTCAAGCTCAGATTAAGGATCCTGATACAAAACAACGAGCTATTATGCATCTTTCAATGCTTAGTTCTGCACAAATTGTATCTGCAGGAGTTCTTGGTTCTAAAACCTTACCGTCTATCTCAACATCCAGCGGATTACCAGTGACATCATCTGCAATTCATCCATCAACAGACGATGAGAAGATTAATGAAATTAAATTGTCAAACTCACATCCTTTGAATATGGCAAATAATCGAAGTGATATGCATAGTTTGATTGTTGAAGATATTGTCACTGATAGAAGTCCTCATATTAATGATCTTATGCATTCTAATAATGGAGAATTAAAGAATAAAACTAATGGTTTATATCTTGAAAATCTACACAAGTACCCCTCTTCAACAGCTGTTAATAATAATGTTCAAAACAATTATGCAGTTAGTAATAAAAATTTAATTAAAGGTAAATCTCAAGGTAAGTTATACAATGCAATGGTATAAATGGACTCATTTTTGCTCGTTTACATAATACTTTTATTTTATTGAGGTTGTGCAGAGACGGGATAAAACAACGTTACATAGATTGTATAAATTAACTGTAATGTATGCTATTAACTATTTATTTATGAATGATAAAGTTCATACGTATATTGTATTGAAATTCCTTATTGAATAAACAGATCTATTAGGTACTTCATACTATTCGTTATGTAGAAATGAATCTGATAAGTACATCTTTAATGCTATTTGCGAATTCCGTGACTTGTAAAAAGCTGGTAATTTGTAAAGCTGAATGATGTAGAATTTCGGTATAGTGTTTTCAGTAAATAAATTATGTCACTAAATCAGCATAAATGCGATTGCCGTCAAAGAACATCTAAATGCGGAATAACGTTTATGGTTATTAATACATTAGAAAAAGAAAACTGTATGTATATCTAATTTATATGACGTCGATCAATAACGTTTCTAACGGAAATAAAATACATTTGACCAATTTTTCTGTTAATTATTGATAATACTTGATGTAGTCTTTCGAAATAATAAATAAATACTTCGTAGTTTATTAGTTGAATTCATGAGTCGATTAAAGCTAGACCGCCACGGAGAAATCTGGAAGGACTGGACAGCCGTCTCGTCCTAGTACGGGACTCCTCAGCAGTGCGCAACCACAATCATAGTTTACTTAATACTCAGTATTAATGTCGTCTTTCAATTGAATTTTAATCCATCGGAATAGTTTATTTTTTTTTAAAGAAGAACAAGGGAAATTTCGAATCACATTTTAAAGTTTAATTGATAGTTTAAACTCCTGATAGATACGACAGTAACAAGGCACTAACAACACTTTCTTTTTCACTAATAGGTTATTCAGTGATTCAGTATCGCTATTTTCAACTTAAGTTCATTTTTGACACCAATTTGCCATTATTTAATTTCACAAAAAAGTAAATCCCTCACCACTATATTATTTTTTTGTAATTATTCTTCAACTGATATTAGTCTGTAAACAAATTTGCTTCTATTACAGTAAATTTTGATTTTTTCGAAGTTGAAAGATTTTCGCTTTTTCTTTTTAAGGAAACTGTTCATATTCTACAGTGATACAAGATGATAAAACAACCCAATATAATCATATCAATTTAAATCCCTCTAGTCAATCTACACTAGCCCATCTTCTTCCTATTAATTCATCCTTACCACCGTATTCATTTGATATAAGACAACAAGGAAATATGGTGAATAATGACAGTTCACCGTTATCTTATCCATATGAGGCGTTTTTGGCCCTGAGATCTCAACAACAATCAAATTTATTCAGTAGAAATTCGGATACATTAGATTTGCATAACAAACTTCTTGGACCTGATGACAGTAAACAGCAGCACGAAATTGATTCAAAACAACTAAGTTTTCCCTTGGCGTTAGATAATCTTATGACAATCACTTCAAACAATCATCGAAATCAGTCCTCTTCCCCGTCAACATCTATAGTAAATAATGTTAATCGTTTACAGTCCACATTACCAACAAATAATTCCTCTGTTGTATTACCAAATTTACAACCTGACGGACTAGTTCTTGTCAAAACATCAGTTGGTCAGTTGATATACTGTCCACCTAATCACTATAATAATAATAATAATGCGATTCCTCAAAAAATACATAATTCTACTACTACCACTATTAACAATAATACTGATTCTTCCATATCCTCCTCAAATTGTTCGTCAATTTCCTCATTATCTTCAGTACCAAGTTTTAAATCTACTCTTTCAGTACCAAATTCACTAGGTTCTTCAATGATATCAACCACACCATCAGCATCAGCAGCCGTAGCAATGGCAGCTGCACATGTAGCTTCAGTTGCAGCCTATGAACAACAATGTACAACAATAACATCTGTTTTATGGCCAACAAATCCTTTACTATCATCAACATCATCGCCATCATCATCTCACCATGCATCTGTACTTTCAACTAAATCAAATATAAATACATTTCCTTCGACAGTTGTACCTAAACACAATCCAGTTTTAATGGAACAGTTAAATGTTAATCATGCTCACCGTAATAACAATAAAAATTATGGTGATTTAATTGCAAATGCATTAGCAACTACTAATAAACAACTAAGTGACGATGGGACAATGAATTTTTTACGAGAAATTTCATATTCCTCAATGAATCTTTCAAGGGATAGTGATGATTCTATTTCAGATTCCCCAAAATATTCTAGAAAAATGATAGCAGAGGTAAGTTCATTTACTATCTATTTTATATCCCATAAAAAATTTCTAGAGTGCAGAAAAAAATATGTCACTGTCAAATGTAAATGTTACTACTATGGTTACCAGTACAACACCAGAGGATTTAACAAATATCAATATACCTAAATGGATGGGACGATCAGTTACAGCACCTAAAATGAGACTGGTTGAATTAAGCGCCTATATGATAAGTTCGACGTCTAAATCCCAGTCCAATGTAAGTTAATCTAATCCGCATTTATTTATTGTTTTATTAACGTAGTTTAAACCTACTTCCCCTCTCTCCATAGTAAATGTTTTGTTCAGATTATTTTATCATAAAGAAACACGATTTCATCAGTCCTTTAAAATCGGTTAGATTGAATTTAATTTACAAACTTTTATGAGACTCTTCCTCAGTATAAAGAAGTGGTCCCGTTCTTGACGTGATTTCCCATATATCAGGGTTTTGCAAGTGACAATTTTGAACCTGTGAACCTCACTTGACTGACTAGTGTTATCAATCTCATTTAACTCAAGACAATGGGACCACCTCTGGACGTCCTGTACAATATTATACAGATCAATAACGTCATTATGTGTTTTCATCATGGTATTTAATATATATTCAAATACTATCTTCAAGTAGTAGATAATGATGATTTAATTCCAGGACTCTTAATGATACAATGATTACCAAGATATTTAATGTTTATGAGTTCTGGAGCAAAATAAATCAGCCATATGCATCAAATAAGGCCATTTGGATAGAAATACCATTGTCCTTGACTTTTAATAAGAGCTGAGCAGTGTCGTCTGACTCAAATACTGCCTTGTAGCATAAAACTCATTGAAAATTAACTGGTAAACAATATTCAGTATTTAAGTATAAATTAGTTTCTTATGTTAGGTTTCTAAATTTTAATGTTCTAAATATATTTTGCAACTTGGTAATAACATTGAAATGGTGAATCGGTCTAAGTTAGATAACCATTGAGAACCTGGAAGCATTGGATGGGACTCCTCATTGGTGTGCATTCACGACCTCAAAACCAGGGATAGGAAGCCGAACCTTCGGTTTCATGCTCGCATGCCTGACCTATAGACAACTAAGTTGGTCATTTTTACTAGCGTTTCGTTATTTAATGCCAATTTAATTCTAACTTATAAACTGCTTGATTAGAACCCGATACTCCATCAAAACGTATTAGTGAATCCATCGTAATTATTGATATAGTTCATTGACACAAATTTACGTTTCAATTATAATTTAGAGTGACCAACATATTCAAATCCAATGAAATCCAGTTTCAGATACCTGTCATACATCAAATATGATCCATATTTACTAACATAAAATCTAGTTTATGCCAATTTAATGAAGTTCTTCAATGTTCTTAGTTTTTGTATTTTCGTTTTGGTTGGCTCAACTGGCTAACAAAAAGAAGCACTATTTTCCCACCTACGTACGATTCAACCTACGAAATGTGCTTGTATTCAGTGTATTCACGTGTTCATTTACATATATATTCCTCTCTATATAAATATTTCCTACAAAATGAACTAAGTGTAATAATCAAGAAAACTAAGGAAACAATATACAATTACGTTTAGATTTATCTGAAAAAAGAAATTACAGCTGTGTGCTAATGTAATTCATGTAACTGTATCTCGGCGTTTTGACTCCGTTTGTGTATGTGTGCCTATCTATGGATAGTTTTGTTGAATCTCACGTTTTCTCTTTCCACGTATGACTTCTATACCCATTGAACATTAGGCTAGTTTAGAAGCTAATATATATATATATATATATATATATGCTATCCATATAAGCCTGGTCACAAAATAACATACAGTTTATGTGTATATGAATGACTATCCCGATTGCCAATCCGTGAATCTATCCAGTAAACTACCTGATCGATTTACTACAACAACTACTGGCCTGAATATAAAATTGTTCCCATTATTAATAATGGTAATAATAATGATCATCACGATGATAATTTTATTGAAGAATAAAATTAACTTATATTTGATTACATTTTACTATTGTAAAATAACTCTTGAAATTAAATCAACTTGGCACTATGAAGTTTATGCAAATATAAACTATTCGGGTACGAGTGATACATGAAAGTACAATTATCAAACTTAATTTGAACTTTATATTTTTGTTGCTTCAATCACCCAATAATCATTGTTTCAGTATAGAAAACATCCTTTTTCCATACGGTTAGTAAGAAGTATTAAATCACCTGATGAATCTAACAACCGGATATTATCTGTGATTAAACAACTAAAAACATGTTTAATCAGCTAGGGGGTATAATCTTGGTACTATTTATATATTACGCCTATTTAAATCTAGTTCTATTAGCACTATCCTCAAATAAATTGCTGTCAGAGACTCACATAAGATATTTGTTACCCTTTGAGAAGTAAATAATTATGTAAACTGCGTCGGCGTTGTTGTCCAGGTAATATTTACTGCTTCTTCTAGATTCTATTAGGAATAGATGGGTTTTAAAAATATTTTTCAGATAGGCTATGTTACTGTTCTTTAACTTCATTTAGCGTATTGTGTAACACCGCTGTTTTGCAATATATTTGTTAGTGACTGTTTCTTACCCACAGATGATAAAAATATCAAGCTAATATAATCATTTCACCACATAACATGATAAATCTCTAAATGTCGGTGAAGTTAAAGTTCTGAGAGTTTACATAATAATGATAATCATGTTCAACTCAAACCTAATAAAAAAATTTCAAATAAACTTACTCATTAATTATCAACTGGTAAAATAGTTCGCACTTCTTTGTCTTTGACTTTCATAGTTTATTTGTTAAAAGCGGTCAACTTCTACATTTAGGTACGGAAGTTTTGGATTTTGGGAGAGTTTGGTGATATTCTAAATACTTTAATTAGCGATCATCATTTCTATACTTAAAAATAGCTATAGATATGCCATTTTCCAACAGTTCTGAAGCAGATTTCAATAAAAAAATTTGGTGAAATAGTTAAAATTCTATTTTTATTAACCTCTATATAAATGACAACGGAAAAATAATTTCAATTTTACCTTAGGTCCTTTGGAACAACCACGACCTTTTGACTAAATATATCTTTTATCTTTCAATTATCATTACAAGTATTCATTATAAGAGTAAGAAACATACAATTCTGATAGGACGGCAAAACTAATCGGGGAATCATTAAATTTACTTGTCAGCCAATGATTAATTATTTATTGACTGATTAGTAGATGTGTTCTTAATACATTTGATTATCTTTGACCTGAGTGCATACATCGGCGTGAGTACATGATATTAATTCACGAGTAATCATAAATATAGGCCGGATTATGACGTAATATTTCTCTTTTTCAGAGAATGGTACGCTACATTTATTGACTTAATAAATAAGGAATAACGAATTCCAGAACCGTTTGACTGTTTATGTCTTCCTATTTTTTTCAACACCTAAGTGACCGTTGTACTTAGCTGCTTTTTTAAATAAACTACACCATACGAGCTTATGAATATACTTTGTTTATAATAAACTGTGCGAGTATATATATATATATCCCATTGAAATAAGGAGAAAATTTCCATCGTAACGATGTAAGTGAATCTGTTATCTTATGTATTCAATAACATTAAATAAATTCTAAACCACAATTGAAAACCTGGAAGCATCGGACGGCCATCTCGTCCCAGCGTGGGACTCTTTGGCAGTGACCTTTCACGATCTCGCACGCGGGATTTGAAGTCTGGACATTCAGCCCCATGCTACCGCTTAACCTCTATACTACAGGGCTGGCATCCAACATTAGTAAGGTCTAACTTCAACCAACCCAAGATATTGCGTGATTATCTTCTATTGCTTTCGTTGAGCGACTGTCTCACACCCAACATAGTTGAAGTCCACTGGTTACGGCTTCTCAATAGAACTCCGAAAATTATTTCTCTGAACTAGTCACTAGTGAAAAAATGATAATTATCAGTGTAGAGTTGTGGAGATCGTGGAACATTTATTGAGATCACGAAACGATCAATGTTAGATCACCGAGTTCTGCGTGCAGGACTGTAGATGCGGACTTCTGGGAAGTCCCACACACGAGGAGATAGCCGTTCAGTGCTTCTAGGTTTCCAGTGTTGGTTTAACATTGATTAATTCATGATCTCAATGAAAACTTTGAATAAACTGCCATGTGGTTAACTATTTATGTGGTTTAGTTGTAATACGAATTATTAAGCGAATATATTCTGATTTTTAATCCTTAATTGGCAAAACATAGAATAAAATGTATGCACCATATATATATATATGGTGCATACATTTTATTCTATGTTTTGCCAATTATATATATATATATATATATATATATATGCCTATTCAAAACATCAGATAATGGACTTTCAAGTCTTTTTATTGAAATGCAAAATTTCTTTCAAGGTATTGAATATATATAAGTTTAGCACTGTGTTATTTTCATTTTTCAGAACAAGCCTTTTCTGATAAATGTTAGGTGATTTAACTTCGACCTTTTATAAAATTCAAACACATAAATAAGTGATGGTAATTTACAGTGAGGACACGTCTGGCATACTGACAATCCAAGTATTGTAAAAACTCAGAAGTGCCATTTCACAGGCTGTATGAGTAAAAGTAGGATTCAATATTTATCTATTTCTTTATGTATGAGGCATAATCTAATACACTCATTTATCATCTGCAAAAAGTTTAGGATCACTGTATTCACACTGATATATATATATTGAAAAGCCATATATTTATCTGGTTATCTAATCGACTAGCCATTTGTTTGTCGTCGTTCACAAATTACACTTTAAAGTGACTGTGAAAATGATTAAGTAAATTTTATTAGGGCAACAGTCTAAGTGTTAATGTACAACTTATGTTTTACCAATAACAATTGTATGCGAATAATGGTAAAAATGGATTTGCATCTTATGTGCCATATGTTTATGATAAACCCAAATATTAGTGCTTTAAATATAACCAACCATTATTACGTTTGGACTTACATGAATTTTTTCATAATATACAACAATTTTAAATCACGCAGTTTTTTGAAGATATGAAAACTTTATCGTAAAATAATAAAGGAAGAAAAATCATTTGTTATATTAATTAAATACTATTTTTTTCTTAGCGGATAAATCATTGCATTAAATTCAGAATTACATGTCTTATTATGTCCCATATAATAACTTCTTTGGTATCATGAGCAACGGTGCACGTCATTCAGTATATGCATAAAATTACATCTTCCATCATTTTGAGATGGTTGGTTGCATAGTTTTATAGTTTTTTAAAAACTTTTAAAATTTAACGTATTGCTACTTAGCTTATTATCTTTCGGATATTGAAACTTCAAATATGGAATTTCAAAACGTAATTATTGTACTTCTTTGTAAATAAAAACTGTGAGAAGTTGCTCTTCATAAATTCACTGACTCAAGAAACTTAATTAATACAATTTCAAAGATTCATAGTTTCTCGATCTGGTCATGTAATTAATGACAAAATCAGGAGCATATCATTTTATGATAAAGCCCATGACTATCATTACGTTTTTTTCAGGAATAGCTAATTAAATATCTTCTTTGTTCTTGATTTTACGACAGGTAACTCCTACACATGATTTTCATTTAACTACAACCCCTAAATCGACGACAACTGTACACAATTTTGTTCACATTGGACCCATTTTAAACGAGCAATTATACACTGACCCAAATTTGGAGCAAGTAGATGCAAGCCAAATCTGGGATAAATTTCCTGAAGATAGCTTAAAAGAACTTATGGAACATGGACCCATGAATACGTTCTTTTTGGTTAAATTCTGGGTATGTTTTGATTACGAAAAATTTGTTCTGTAAAATGTCACGGGTTTATTATTTTATCTTGAAACAAATTGTAGAGAACTAGAAGTAAAAATGATGGTTGTATGATGATCTGTTTGAGTTTACATTGATTTAACCAAAACAATGCACTAATCCGTGAATTCATTGTTGATCCGACTGAGCCATTTTAATGATTGTAGATTAGCTGGTCGGGGCCTATGTGATTATCGTATTAGTGATTAGGGACTTTGAATGATATGACTCAAAATTATTCACAATGGAACAGGTGCATTTACTTTTCGTCTTCCCCCAGATTCTTAGGTGCTGAATTGCTCATATTTTTTTATTATGCCAACTTATATTGTTTTGAAGTGTATCTTCGATAGATAATATTTTCTATTACAGTTAATAATATCACTACCTCTACTAATCTGAGACTTTTCCTGATATGCTAATGAGATATGGCTACTTGAACTAATGTATATAGGTACATAGTTCTACGTTGCGTTTGACTGACTGACTGATGAGATCACCAGAAAGACAATTAGTAAAGAATTTTAATTTTCTATTTTTGCCCACTCACATTGAAGTTGAGCTTGTTTTTAATCTTCATGCTGTTCACTTCAACCTGAATGAATGTTAATATAGGGGGAATTTGTCTGAGTTTATTTTACAACTCTATGTAATATAGTTTATGTGCAGAGTTACTTTATACAAAAATCTGGATTATAATTTGGTGTTCGTTGACAGTCAGCTAATTGAAATTTAAATAGAGTCGATATATCGAAGAATTCATTTATGGTTACTTTAAGTTAAACATCTATATCAAAGTAACCTAAGTCTATAGAATCTTGAAATCCATTCTAAATTGTTCGACACCACATAAATCAAACTACATAGCAAGTTTTATGGCTTTGTCTGTCTATCGGAGATTTTAACTGAATACCTGAAACAAGTACTAAGAAGTTGGTCATTACAATTGTTGAATTTCGGCTCTTAACTTGTCAAAGCAAGTGATCCAATCGATGGATGTCAGTTAGACACCAAATGATTTTTTATATAATGCCTTTAGAAGTGAAGGGATTATTTATGGATAAATAATATCTTATTACTACTGAATTATTTTTGTACGAAAAGCCATCTGAGAACTCATACTACTTTTATTGTGTTTTTCATGTGGAAACTTATGCTTTTCCTCATTTTGAATCATTCTATGATTGTCATCAGTCAACCATCAAGTCATCCATAGTTATTGCTCTAAGCTTATAGGCTATGTTCATATGTTAGTCAGGATGTTTTAGAGTTTGAATATTGTTGTGTAAGCTATTGCTTGTGTTTTAATTATAAGCATAGTAAAACATATCAATATTTGAAGAATTAAAAACACCATTATTTAAGTGCTCTGTATACTGATATTTGTGAAAACAGGTTTCAGGCTAGTATTAAACGTTTTCAATAAAAACGATAATTATTGTTTGTGGAAAATCACCAAAACTATCCGAATGTGTATCAAATTCTGTGAAATATGCATGAAAAGGTTAGATAACAATCGACAGTTTGACATTTTATAAGATTATATACTATTATTGTTAAAGTCGATTAGCACCTGAGGTCCAAGATTGAACAAATATTTATTTGAAAGTACAAAATTTTGTAAGTACTGTATTTTGTTAACTGGATTAAAAGTAATTCATAGTTACATACCTTGAAGAGAAATAATCGTGATATTTATTATTATTATTATTTGTAACGACTACTGAATTATGTCAGACGTTTACAGCGAATTATAATACCTGAAAGTATCTTATGCTCATGTTCTGATGAAGTTGACTACTTCTTTGTTTGTTTCTAGTCTTTGCATTGAATATCACTGTAACATTCAATGAGTTTAATTTTAAACTTTTACATGTGACGTAAATATTTAGAACATATAATTCACACAACAATGTAAATAAAGTGTGGCAGTTTAAATAATTATTTAGTTTATGTTTAATTTTAGAGTGATTATCCACAATTTCAAGTCAGATAGTTTCACAGAATGTTTTCTTTATTTTGAAGACAATTTTTATAATTAACTGATGTTAACTGGAGAACTGCTGAAAAGCAGAAATTAAACAGTTGTTTCATCTTTTCGGTTTGGCGTTTTCACAAAGACTAAACATATTGAACTGGTTTCAAAGTTCTATCACTCAAGGTATCGTGGAAGAGGATTTATGTTTTTACAGTTTAATGTTTCCCTGTTTTCAATATTATTCCAGTTGACTTCATCTCATACCAGTTCAATTCGGGAACATATAAGGTAGAAATATAATATTTGATAGTTACTACGATAGATTTAAAATAGTTTATAAAAAATTTACTTATAAATGATGATAATGATGAAATGTTAATGTTTAACGATCATTCAATAAAAATGACTAAATAGTTAATAAACAAATTAACTAATTAATTAACTACATAAAATACACAAAATATGAGAATTAAAATAAATGGATGAATTTATTTCTTTTTATTTTGTAATGGATTGATAGATGGAAAGGTTGATCATGTATAAAACTATACACATAATCTGAACATCCAAATATCCTACTTCATATCATTATTCTAAGAACAATTTTAACATACAAAAAAGTGATGACCAGTAAAGAAAAAAATCTTTTCATGCTGTGTGCTACTGATTATTTTAATGGTTTCTGTGTGTTGGTTTATTTGTATAAATAATTTCACGAGAGTGGTTTTAGACAAATAAATAAAGTATGATAGAATAGAACCCAATTTATTAAAAAAGTTCTAAAAAACAATAATTTCCTCAAATAAATAGTAATTGAGAATTTTGAATCTAATTACTTTCCATACTCAATAGGTGATTAATAATTGCAAATAATGCCAATGTTATTCATAGCAACTTTAGAATGGAGTTTTGTGATTAGCTTAAAAGGAGTGCATTTAATCTGATTCACCTCAAAGTACGAACCGATAAAATTTCTATCTCCACTTGTTTAGCTCTTTCAAATGAATAGTTAAACTGAAATTCCAATCAGTTTTTGTGACTTGAATCAATGCTCATGATCTTAGTATAAAAGAAATATGCTGTCCATCAAAATTTTACATCACTTTAATCCAACTAGGGAACATTGATGTAAAATATTAGTTATCTTCCATTAATCAAGTTAATCAACATTCGGTATTGTGTTGTATAGACCCTACTTAGAGTTGAGGAAATTCATAAACAAAATTTACGTGAATGTGTGATTACCAATCTTAGACTGTGATTCTTCAATCTAATTTAAGTAAATTACATTCTTCTTTTCATCTGTTTTAGTCAGATTAAAAATATTTTATCATAAACTATTTTGAATAAACTATTACCTGGTTTATTTAACCTAAACACTTCACTCATATAGTTTCATGGTAAAATGTATTTACTTTTTAGAAGAAATTTTTAATACGATTTTTTGTACTGCCTTCACTTTTTTTTCGCTTGTTTACTAATGTATAACGCCCTAAAATCATGATAAATTCATAAATTTTAAGTTAGCCAGTTTGTTTTTTGTTACTTCGAGTTACTTCGATTTTCATAATTTTTCTAACAGCCGCTTTATTTTGACTGTTTGAGATTAGTAAACAAAAATAGAGTTAAAATACTATTAAAAAACAATTACATTTTGGATTTCTTTAGGCTTTTGTTTAATAAAACTCTTTTGTACATGGATAAGGTTAACACACCTTAACGGAGACAAACAATGATCCAGTGTGCATTTTAGCTGAAATAAAATGAAGTAAGATTTACTTTAGTCTAACAATATCACAAAAATAAACGTATAATGTGATAGATACCTTAAAAATGAAGCCATTAGCAATTCATATCAGTGTTCTTTTTTTACTTTCTTGCATGTTTGGGGAAGTTCAGATATCTGTCCATGTTAAATGGGAATTTAGTTCAGTTACTTTTGATCATTTGAAACGAGTTTCGAAAATTCTAGGTTTTAGTTCATTAATTCTGGACGGGACTGAAAAGTGACCCAATGATGATGAATTTTTTGTAGAGACTATCATGGAAATTCTTGGTTCAGTTTTTATCCTACTTACAATTGTTCATCTAAACATACTTAATTATGCCCATTCGGTTTATATTGTTGAACAACATGGAAACTATAATCTGCATACAAATTCAGGAAAAGTCGTGACAACTCTCTGTGGAGCTCATGTGCCAACAGTAACTGATTATTTCAGTCATGAATATAAGAAGTAAGGACTGCCAAACCTTTATGACAAAAATCATCTATGAAATATTTCAAAAGTTCACTATCATTAGTATAAAAATAATAAGAATGAGATTAAAATTGGTTTATATTTTTCATAATCGGATATAGGTGAAAGTTTATTATTTAAAGAGGAAAAATCGCGAGTTAACATCTGCAAATTGTATTTTTATTTACAATGTGCGTTCATTTGAAAATGCTCAATGGTGTGATTCAGGAGAAATTTCATCTTGGTTTATTTTTAAACAAAGCTTTCAATAGTGTACATGTCTTATAATTGAGAACCATTAATGATTTAACCATTAGATTTGTATTTGCTGATTAAGTTATATCATATATCATAAGTCATGTTAAAATACTCAGTGATAAATATTAATGGTTAAAGCTTAATAATAGATGTTTGTCTTCAAATTATGTAATGAAAGGTAATCAAACAGTACAGTACAATCCCAGACGTCTTTGACCAATCCTAACGAAATAAAACGTTTAATTTTAAATTTTTTATTCGTTGAGGTTATTGAAGTGACCAGTACACACAAATAATTAAAACCACACGTTTATTATCTTGAATCTTTTTGAAATAATTACTTGGATACAAGTTCTCACCTCACTTCATCGACGTTGATTCATACAGTTCCACAGTATCACATAATGTCATACAAGATCTGTTAAGGAGAACCAAGTGCAAAAACCTTCAACAGGTTATTGATTAATATTGTAAACAACAGCGTGGATCCAATTTCTTTCATGTTATTTAGGATTTTCGGTGTTAATTTTATTTCATACTTTTCATGCACAGTATTTATTGATTTTTTAGTTTTAATTTACCTGATTAGTTTTCATTATCACCAATAATATTATTTTGAATAATTTGATTTCCATCTTGTTAATTGTCTTGCATAATTTAGTTGGTGGAATTGAGATGGGAGTTTGAAGTAAATAACGTTTCAGAGAAATAAGACAAAAATATGTCACAACTACCCAAACTAAATAATGCCATATTTTTGTGTCCGACCATACTTGAATTTAGGTGATTTGACAATGATGAAAAGCCTGACAAAAGAGAAAAGTAACTACATTCTACAAACTTTTTTTCACTGTCAATGAATGTGGAGGGAACCAAGTATATTTATATGTATTTTTTTATACTTCACTAAATTTTATTTACACTTTTTCAATGGTATTTGTAATTGTTGTTTACATTTTTCTTCAAGCATGATCTTTCAGACTAAAATTTCTGTTGTCTACTATTTCATTTGGAATTTCAACATCTCATGTAATCATTTTCATCAGCAGAGTAAAAATAAACAACAAACAATATAAAACAAACCTAATAACATTGTGTTTATTGTATATAACTTTTATAGAGGTGATTTGTAATAGAATTTGCCAATCTGTATTAGATATAGCTATTGACAAAACAATGTAATACATAAGTATACTTTAGTTTAGTGTTGTTCAGTGTTCTCAATACAGTTGTTTTTTTGTTCAAATTAGTATTGTCAATTCATCATAGTGTGTTGTTAAATTTTATTTACTACATCATGTTATAATAGTAATTGTTTGAATTGATGGTAGTTTATTGATTTAACTGTTTACGAATCGCACTTATAAGCTTTACTCATTTCTATAGTTTTTCAAAGTATATTTTGTCTTACAAGGTATAAGAAGTTAGTCAATGTCTTTTCTGTTGTTTTATCAGAGTAATATTTGTTGTTGTTGTTGTCGTCGTCGCGACATTACTTACTTTAATTATGTTTATTTACAGTAATTTTTCTATGTTGTTTTCACTAAAATGATTTAGATTTTCTTATTGAAATCTGAAAAAGATACTAATATTTCATGATAGTTTACAATTAATGAATGTAATGAATTTTTGTTGTCATGATGAAGAATCTATGATGTACTCATAAATCAGTGTATTATATAGTGAGCTTAGACAAACAGAACAATTGTTGTCGTTGTATCTATGTGTTCATACAAAATTGTGATATAATATGCACCATCTTACAATTTTCTACCTTATTATCATAATAATGGTTGTGTATTTCATAATGTAAATGTAATTTTTCTTTCTGTTTCATGCAATATTTATTCGTCTTATCATTAATGGATATAGGCTGATGTCAATGTGATGGTTGAACCAGATGCCACATTCGCTGTGTCAGCCATGTGAGTTTATATTATTAATGAGCATTTTTATTAAGATTACTGTTGTAAGTAATAGCTTTATTATTTACCTTGTTTTAAAATGATCCAAGCTATTGTTCTCTGATTAAAAACCTAGTTCATACGCTAAGAAGTTTGTCTATCTCAGAGCGGAAATAATATTTAATTGATGACAATGGATTTGTTCATACAAATTATATACTGTCTGCGTAAAAGTTTGCAAAATATTTAACTCAAATATATTTTGTAGTAGTTTAATCTATTCGCTGAAATATTTCAATTCATGATAGTTAAGCTTATATAACATAATCAATAATATAATGACTTACCAATTATGTTTCATTGGTAATAGAGATTTTTTAAGTTTCAATACAAATATGATCGAAAACAACTGATTAGTCTACTGAAAAGGATTTACTTGTTTATTTCTAACTACTTCATCACCTTTATTAATCAAGGTGACTAATCAGAGATGATTATACTGAAAGATTTTTGGTAATTCATAGTAACAGATAATACACAATTTACTTAATTCATTAGTACGTAAGAGTGTACATCTAACAACTATTATTTAGCTTATTAAATATGAGGTTTTCTTTCGAAATTTCATATTTAACTAAAACTCATCACAACAGATCATACTGAGACTTATACTGTTGTACTTCTTTTAAATGTATATACGTAAGACAAAAAAATATTTAACACATTTACCTGATATAGAAAGTGGGATTCCATGGATTAACTAAAAGGGTGAGCTTTACTTCCGATTAAAAATCCTAATTGATGTGTAAATTTTTCAAAGGTTATGAAAAAATAACACATATGTTCATTGCTTTTCACCGAGATGTATGTTGAAACGCTTTTAGTTTGTACTAAGTTATTAGGTCGTCTAGAAGTGGGATCATGGATTCCCATTATTGTTAAGTCCTTTACTAGGACGAAATAATCCTTACAGTGAATTCATAATGAAGATGGATAATAAACAGACTCTTGTACAACGGTAACAGATTTCGCGTGAAATCTAGCAACAAAGCATGATTTAAAATATAAAGAAGAGTAATAGAAGCAGAGGAATACATTACAATTAATAGGGGATTAAAATAATCCAGTTAACATAATAAACACACAATTTCACGTTGTACTAACTAGTTAAAGTAACGTTAAAGTTTTTATTTTTATATGAACTATATCAAAGAGATAATGAAAGGTCACATTGGCTAGTTTCATCTATAGCTTTGTTATCCGGGGGTATGATTTTAACATGCTACTATCCAAAAAACAAAAACAACTTCTTACAGTATTTTAAAATCACTTAAAACACAGAAGAACTACTTCCAAGTAACTTCAAGAAGGAGTATTTCTATTCAGTTAAATTGAATGTCAATTTACAAATTCTTGTTAGTTGAGATCCTCTTATTTGTTTCTTTTTTTATTAGTTTCGAGGGTACGGAAGATGTTCCAATTAATTTATCAACTAAAGTTTGCTCATTTGGCAAAGAAGTATTAGAAAAAATAGAGGTATGAAAATCATAGTTTTCCTTCTCTCTATATTATGGTGTCATTATGTTATACTGTAAAAATCACTGCAGTTTCCTTCCTAACATGTCATTATTAGAAACATTGATTGATTAGATAATTACTCAGTCTTTAAGCTTAGCAATTTTTGTAACTACTTAGTACTTAATAAGAGGTAATCCAACTTATTTTGTTTATTCTCATTACTAGCATTTTTTTCTCCGAGAAAATAATGACTATTAAATGTGATGAATTACCTTAGTAATTAATTTGAAGAATAAATATTTAGTTATTGTCATATCTTATTTTTCTAAATGTTTTCAGTAAACTGATAACGTCTCTGTGTTTACTACTAGTAAAATTAGAAATTGATAATTATACTAATTGTGTGTATGTACTTACACAAATAAGCGTACGAGCCGGCTCATTGCTTCTATCATTTTACTAGTGTAAATCTTTAATATTTTTCAGTGAATGTGTGTGTTTACCATTAGCTCAGCGTGATGATATCGACGGGTACGAATTCACCTAATGAATCATTAAAAAGCAAACCAGAAACGTTAATTATTAAATGCATACAAAGAACGATAATAAAAAATTGTCTTGACGTTTTGTTATGAGCATATTTAATATTGTAATCAATTTTAGTACAGGCTATTATTCTCATTCACAGAATAAAACTGTATTTTTAAATGGTGAATGAGTGCATGTTTAAGTACGTAAAAAACTTTAGAGAGAATTCATCTTAGACGATATGTCTTTGGATATTATCAAACACAGTGTGCATCATACTGACGGCAAGCGTTCACATTTGCCTGTGATAATTGAAAGCTTTAATAAATTTAAAAATGGATATTGATAAGTTGTGAAAACAGACGAAAATTGAATAAAATATTACCGGATAGATTAAATATAGCTCATGTAATAAACTGCATAACTTTAAACCATGGAGTGTTAAAGACGCGTTTTATCATAGCTTAAAACTCTTCAGAAGGCTTCACAAACCACGAAACTCAGGACCTAACCCAGAACATTTGGATCTCACTTATCGAGAACAAAGACTATGAGATGAAGCAACGGTGTAGTGTACTTTGTTTTCCAATAGATCTTCGGTTGATATCAATTTTCAACGAGTGCAATCTTCAAATAAATTTACTCACCAAGGGCACTGGTCTCTGAATATAATTCAGATAATCAATGTTATTGACAGTGTAAAACCACGAATTTGATAACCAGTGTCCGAGTCTCTATGTCGAGATTTACTCAACATTCATTTTCAGGTTGCTATATTGTCAGTTGACTATGATCACAGTGACACTCACTGTTCATTTTTCGTTACAGATGTAATGGTTTGCAAACGATCGCTAATATATTATCAATTTTAAAAAAAATTGCTAACTTTATAGTCAGTATCTGTTTACTTGAAATTTTATGAAATGATAAAAGCGAAATGCAGCTGGTTTTCAGGTCATGTACTGAGTATTTTGTGTTATTTGCTGTATATATTAGATAATTTCTAAGGACGTTCAGTAGAATAACATGCCCCATTAATAAAGTCTTTTCACTAAACGGGTCAAATATTTAAACAAACACATATCCCAATATTAATTTACACATTTTGAATCCTATTAGGTATAAATAGCAACTCGCGCTTTAAATGATAAATTCACTGTACATGCATTGTAATATGATTAGTTGCTGAAAATGCCACTGACTCAGATTGTGTATTTTGCTATTATTTAGTGGTGGTGATACTTCCCAACTGTATTTTTGGTATCAATCTTTAGTAAAATAACGTACGGTGAGTCTGTAAGACTTTAGGTTACGAAAACATTTACGTTGGTATGTTTAAATCCATCAAACAGCTTGTATTTGATCAGTTCATGCCAGAATAAATGATTGTCATTTTATCAAATATTACCACTAAATAGGCAATTTCATGTATAATTGAAGACACCTGTTTACTGTTTCATTTCATTATTCAACATTTTGTTGTTCCTGCTGTAAAATCAAGGATGAGCAACCTAGACACGAAAATGGACGTTATGTATATCGGTTTTTACGTAGTCCTATGTGTGATTATATGAAAAAATTTATTGGGAAACTATTACAATTGCCTCAGCGAGAATTAATGAATTCCGTTCTGGAGAACTTCACGATCTTGCACGTGAGTAGTTGCAGTGATTTTATTTTCAATAATTACTCCACCCCAAATAATTTTGTGGTGCAAATACGTGATTTATATTTTACGGCAAATATTTTCTAAGCTATCAACTTATAGATATTTCAATGCTTATTAAAAAATTTGTGGAATGCTTTGTTACTTAAGAGGTCTGGATCTAAAACACCTAAAAATAGAAGTCAGTTTTTGCAACAATCAGTTGGTTGAACAATTAATACTTTCCAGATAAGTGGTTTTTATGATGTCCTCATGTAGTAAAACTAATGGATGAAATACTTTAAACGTTGTCATTCAGTTCCCTCTGATTTTTTAACTATTCGCCCGGCGATTTCAATTCCTAAATGGAAACAGGCTAAAATTGTCATTATTCGGAAACTGATAACCACTACAGTTGTAGTCAAAAACAGGAAATTTACAATGATCGCTAATAATACTATGATAAAAACTATGGATTACCAAATTATTTGTTATTGGATGTATTTTACTGTAATGGGTATATATGCTTGCATAGGTTTGTAAGTTGGAAGGAAATACTGATAATTTAGTTGGTAGTAAAATAATAACAAATAAATTACTACACTGAAGCAATCAGTGATTATTTTCAGTTGAATATCGAGGTCAAGCATTATAGAAGTACCTTTAAGAAAATTTTCTGAAAACTCAGAGCCTTTATTAAAAGACTTAATTTTGGTTGATTACTTTGACTGCAATCAGGTATCTTCGGGTTGGTTTGTAAGTACTGTATAATGAAATTCACTGCGTTAAGCGATTATTATGCTTAATCCCGGTTATATTCTCTTACGAATCATTAAAGTGAGTAATATCTTTGAAATTATACCAAGAAAATCAGGATTTATGGATTTTAAAATTTTATTTAAACATTTTCTGTATGTTATTATGTAAAATGAGAAACTTTATGACACGAAGTATAATCCAACAACTGAAACAAAATCCGAATTTTATATTCAGGAGTTGATAACGATAGTTATGGTAGAGACTTACAGGATGCGCTTGAATTATGCTCGCATTTGGAATGAGATTTCCCGTTTTATTGACTGATCGTTCAACTGTTTGAGGTGTATGGTTTAATTTCACTTTAGTCACCTAGTTCCACGGTAAGTAGTTTAGTAAAACAGAAAGTATATTTGATTAAGAATTTTACAATAATCGCTAACTTTTTTTGCTGGCCTTGATAAAAATAAAGAGAATTGACCTGAGAAGAATGGAACTGATAATTTCATTGACATCTTTTAGAATGATAAAGAGTTTACGGAATTCACGTCATGACAGTGAATTTCATTGTACTGGCATTTCTTTCATCACTTTTCAAACTGACATAAAAAATTTAACTTTATTTTCACCCAATAGTGGATCTCATATTTATTTTGTTTTGTTGACAAAACTCAACGCTTTAAGATTACACGAAACAAAATTGTTATGAATGTGTATACATTCCAACAATCCTATTTGCTGGACAATAATCGAGTGCATAAGATGAGAATATTAGATGTAAAATTAAATATCTACAACGTGTAAATTTATATTTCACCATCTAAAGTCTATTTGACGGAAAGAGTGAAAATAAGACAGTAAATACGTTAACACAAGTAAACTACTTTCAAGCAATTATTTGTCTGTATGAAAGCTCCTATCTGTTTATTTATCATGGACTAACTGGTGTCTTCATTATATCAATTTTCCAGTTTACACGCTTTTTTCATTTTTCTGATTTGTGTCTGCATCGTTGTTACATTATGTTGATTTCCTCTGTGAATGACCAACATATCTGAGAGTGTAAAAAACCAACTAACACAATTTATAGTTCCCCTTTGTTTTAATTAATCGTAGGCTTATTATTGTGTTATTCATATGACCCTGAACTAAAACTTTTTTCTGGATAACGTACATGTGCTACCAATTAGGGAACACGATTATTTATGGTATTTTCTTCGATATTTAACAAATTTTATCGACCAGATGATAAGTCGTGTCTGTCTATTTAGTTAAAAGTACTACATAAAGTTCACTGCTTCCTAAATCTCAAACGCTACTTGCACAACTATAATAATTCTACAACTAACATAACTCATGGTAGATAACAGAGACGGGTTTGGAGGCGGGAGGATATTTTTAAGGTTAGTTAATCAAGTACAACCTTGAATATGCCTGTTTCATTCCGTGATGGCTCTAGACAAGTGACTACCCATGAGTCTGAATTCATTTGGTCACAGCTCCTACTGAAATTTTAGTAATTAGTGTTGGATTACGCTCAACTCACTGGAGACATGTACAATTCTCTTCAACAAACTTTCAAAACGGTTTAAAAAAGACAACGTCTATGCAGAACTGAGCCACTAAAAACTGTTGATGATTTATATGCTACTTAAAAGTATTCATGTCTATCCAGCAGAATTGTTGTTATTCTTATCCATTGGGCCGAAAGTCTAGTTATCAGATGAGTAATTTGCTTTCGAAAAGAAACAATATGTAACATTTATTGATTTAATTTGTAGGCTAATGCAATATTTTACCCTAAATACCATGATAATGCTATTAGTTAGTTACTGCGTTCTTCTTAGATAATTGAAAAGTGGTACAAATATCACTTTTTAATGTAAACAGTTTCTTAATAGTAAGGTTTATTTTTAGCTTACCTGACATTACAAAAGTCATGATTTAGAACAGTCTCTCGGTGTTGAAGCAAATTAATTTCTTGTAATTATACAACACACGATAATACGATTTTTAATAAACTGGTCGTAAAAAAACGACATAAATTAACTTTTAAATAGGGAATTGTAAATATGAATATTTTTAAAGCATTGCAATGCATCAGAAAGACACATAGTGGCTAGGAATTTCAAAACTCAGTAAATATTTCACATCTCTTCAAAATTGATGTTACCCTTAATGTCACCTGAAGACTGCTGTCGCAAGATTAAAGACCCTAGTATTCACAAAGTTTGGAGAGGTTGTTTCATCAGATAAAATATTTGGTCCGTTCATCAATACAATATTTTATAGCAAAATTATCTGACAATGACTGTTGAGGTTCTTATTCAGTAAGCGAACGATGAGTTGTTCACTACAACGTTAATAATTCTGATTGTAATTCTTCGGGATAGAGAAATAATACCCACCATCGAAGGACAAAGGTGTCCAGTTCATTTAAACTATTGTAAATGCTCATTAGATGTTTCGGATTAAGTTTTAACTGTCAAAAGAGACATGACATACTTTTGGTCTTAGTTAGAATCCATAACCAGGTGAGAACTAGGGAGTTTTTATTTGTAGTAAAGTAGTTAAGTAATGTTAGCTTTAATAAATTTTTAAAGAAATGAAGTTTTTGGTGGTGATCCTTCTAGTAATATTACACAGAAGTATGTTATGAACTTAGACATATTTGCTTCAATCTCTGAGACAAACATATGACTATTGGCAGGATCACCCAGTTTATTGAAAATTATGTTCATATCCTATGATAGGGTTTGCTATCATTATACTGGTTTTGAAGTAAAGCAGATACCATTCAGACCCTCTATAAACTGAATGACACAGGTTTACATATGAATTTCGTTGGACAGTTATCGTAAAGTGGAATGAATTTTTTCCTAGCAGAACATAATATAGTTCCAAGATACTTTACTAAGATGATCTTCGTCTTGTAAGATTTTTTAATATTTGGTGATTTATGATCTGAACTATTACAGTGTTTTTTGTTACCATAAATCAGCTGATAAGATGTGGCCTGTGTTAACTTAACGGTAAATCACTCAGCTTCTGTTTGATAGGTCGGAAGTTAAAATTCAGCTTTATCTACAACTCGATTTTGGCAACCCGTTAGTATCATTAACTCTAAAATCTAAAGTATGGTTCAAAGCTGATTATGTGAATCTTTAACTGATGAACAAGTAGTATTATTAAATTACCCTATCATTCCTTGAAATATTTATTTTGTAATTTCTAAGATCAATTTTCTGATATATTTCATTGGATATTTTCAATTAATCACTTACTACTACATTTGAAGTGACATATTAACAAAGTTTACCACTAAGTAACTGATTTAATTTTTTTGTTTGCTTTAACAGTATTCAATACTGTAGAAATTTTAAAAATTCAGTATCATTTTTATGAAACTTTATTTGCCGTAGCCATAAATAAAGACAGTATATGCTGATATGGATTATTATGATCATACTACTGAATTTTATACCTCTTGTTATTTTGTCTTCCTTTCTTTCTTTTTTTGAAAGTTACTTGGCTGGCTATTTACTCATTATCATGACTAAGTCTCATTTCAGTCTATATATATATATATATATATATATATATATGATTTCCAGAAATTGACCAGCTATAACATGTATTATTAATATTATTGTGTTATATGATAGACAGTAAACATTATGAGTTTTACATTATTAGGTTTTGTGTTTTCCATTTATTGTTACTAAATAAATTTCATGATGGAACTTGCATTTCTTTTGTCTTCTCTTAAAATTCATCATCTACAAGAAATAGACATATCCTTGAAAAGTATAGTATGGTCAAATTAAAGATAGAAAAAACTATTTGACATTGAGTTTAACCTCTTTAGCTTACCATATATATATATATATATATATATATATATATATATATATACGGTAAGCTAAAGATATATATATATATATATTGTTTACTTGAGATCAAGAGGAAGTAAAGGTTTGTTAACTACATACGTGTGTGTACAGTTATCATAGAGAATTTTTCAATGTCAAAAAATGATTTTCACTTTAATCGGTATTCATCATTTCTCTCTTATATTGACTTTTGAATAAATGTCTTTTTGCCAAATGTATAATATGAGGTTTAGCTGTTGTATAAAGGAAGTGATTTGTGGCAGTCATCTTCAACTTAGTAGAACAATAAAAATAGTCACTACAGTATTAATTAGAGGACACCAGCATATACTGATGCGATTAACATGGAATCCGGTGCCA